AAGAAAGCAAGCCACCAGGTCCATGACTCAAATCATAGTCAGCTATGTGTGAGTCCAGCAATACAACCACCATGCTACCTCCTAGCACCAAATTAATACTGCATTTGAAACTGTTAAACTCTTTTTTTAAGAGAGATTTTTGCTATAGGGTGCATGCACACAACAGAGAAACAAAACAAGAAATCACCCCCCAAGGAACAAGGCCATGCAGCAATCCCTTCTCCATTCTTAGGATTTTGAGCTGCCCATATACATACCTGGCTTGAGTTTTAAGCTGCCGGATCTTGGACTCGAACCATGTTTGACCACAAGGGAGTCCAGCAACGTAACCATTACACCATTATCACCATTATGCTGGTACCTGAAACCATTATACAGAGGTACAGAGCACATTCTTAGGTCAAATGAAAACATTTATACCATTTAATTGTTTATTGTCTACTGCTGAAAATATCAATTATTGCTAGATTTGATTGAGGCCTAGGTATATATATATATTTTTAAAGCACCCCATTGTATTCCGATAGAAATACTTTGGAAATTATATATGTGTTAAACCTCCCTTAGTTTATGAATAAAAAAACTGAGGCTCTCAAGTTGGTTGTCAAGTTGAGATAAGTAATGGACTATCAGATGTGTCCCTTTGGAATTGCAAAAGAAAAGACTGATAAAAACAAACTTCCTTTAGTTTGCTTTTATGTATTTTTATTCTTTTCTAGATGCTGATAAAGATAGCATAGTAATTGTAGAAATTCAAATACAGTACAGAAAGGTATAGAGAAGGATGCAAAATTCCTTAAAACCAAATTACTCATAGACAATCACCGCCTAATCTTGGTAAATCCCCTTTCAAATCTTTGTGCTGACAATTCAGTTTATATCTATGACTTAGATCTTTGCTTTCCACTCATATAATGCACATGTGTGCACATAACTGATAAACTGCCCTCCACTCCAGGTATATCATGCACATACACATATTACTGCCTGCTCGATATGTCTAATTTTTCAATTCTTAATTTAAATACTGTTAATTTATTATTTAGGGTATGTAGTGTCTTAGATCATCACATATTCTAGGGTCATAAAAGCTCTTAAAGAATGGATGACACAGTGGCACTCTAAAAAACATTGTGAAAGTAAACTAGGCATAATAAAGTTTCTGGTGATGATTTTGAAGTCACACTGTAGAATGACCAAGTAGCCTAGTGGTTAAGGAAACTAGATCCCACATGACCAACCACAGTTTAAGTCTCAGCTCAGCACTTGCAAAACATGCTGGACACATATGCATGTATGCCCAAAATCCCAACAAGATAGAGAAATGGAGGAGAAGGAATTGTGGTTGATCAGGCCCCAGGATTGCATCCTCCTTCTCTCTGCCTGTCTCTGTCTCTAAATCTCTGGCTCTCTGGTGCTGGCAAGCACATTTGGCAATTAAAAAATAAATAAATTACTCCAGATTTTTGTGAGGACTGCTATAGAATATATAGCACAGTTGATAGAATTTTTCCTTTAGTTAAAGACCTAACAATGTACATTGCTTTTGGGTATTATTTTACGTCACTGTTTTTCAAAAATAGCCCAGTTATAAAATATTTTTAACAGCTGCCATACATACAGTTTTTTGGAAAAAAGACACTTGAAATAAATAATTTGAAAAACAGTTTAACTTCTCCCATTGTTTTATTAAAAGTTCTACTTTGGAAACAAACAAACAAACACCAAAAAAGATACTGGTAAGATGAATGGTCATTTCAAAAAATTACAATATGATTCTTTTATTCTAGTTTCTTAATTCACTGGATGCTAAAGAAATATATTTGGAAATAATACATAACCTTCCAGATTTTGAACTACTTTCAGCAAACACACTAGAGGTAATTTTTTTATTGATAATAAATAGCAATAGATGTTAATGTTTTAAAATCAGCATTTGTTTTACTTATCACTAGAGAGAACTAAAAATAGCAGTTTCAAAGGATCGTATATAGTTACTAGTCAGTTTTCAGTTAGATTCTAATTGCTGCAGTTTTGATGTTGCTAATTCAGGATGAATGTGTACTTTGGGAAAATCTACCCAAATCTGCAAATAAGTTTCAAAAGGAGGTTCCAAAAGGCAGTTTTGATCACAAGTCAACCTTTGGTCTGATCTGAAACTTTTATCTTCCTGCTTACAGGACCATTTGTGGTGTTCACTGAGAATCAAGAAATATTTAATTCATGGTAGAATCATGTTTTTTTTCCCTACTTATTTATTCTCGGACTAAATGTGTATCCCTACCAGATGTTTTGTTAAACCTGAAAAGTCTGACTCCCTGCCACCCAACTTTTCAGCTATCCGCACCTCCCCACACGGGTCATGTACTTTGTATATTTTAGTGACTTACCTTCCTGTAATATATTGATGATTTACATAGCATTACTCCAAGTGAACAACAAAATAAAAGGAAGAATGGATCTGAATTTTAGGTATTTTGAAATGATAAGAGTGGTAGCTAAAATAAACTTCAAGTCAAAGATTAGAAATCTTATAATTTCCTATTTGTGACATTTTCTTTTTCTTTATCATTTTTAAGGACCGTTTGGCTCATCATCGGTGGCTTTTATTTTTTCATTTTGGAAAAAATGAAAATTCAAAGGATCCTGAGTTGAAAAAGCTAAAAACTCTGCTAAAAAATGACCATATTCAAGTAAGAAAAATGTATTCTGCCTAGCCTTCTAATAAGCTTTCTTGTCAGTTTGATACATATCATTGAATTTTAAATAACAGAAATACTGATTTGAAAGTTTAGGTTAAGAAGTCCAGGGGGACCAGCAGTTAGAGTAATGGCTATGTCGCTGGACTCCCACATAGTTGACCACGGTTCGAGTCCTGGACCCGATGGCTTAAAACTCACTCCAGGCGTGTGTGCGCGCGTACCCAAGATCCCAAGAGGAGAATTGAGGAGAAGGGATTGCGGCGTGGCCATTCCCCCGGGGTGGGGGGTGATTTCTCGCTTTCTGTCTCTCTGTCTCTGTCTGGCAAGCGCATGCGCCCTATAGCAAAAACCTCTCCAAAAAAAGAAAAAGAAAAAAAAAAAGTCCAGGGGCTGGCTGGTGGCATGGTGGTTAGGGTACTGGACTCCCCCATGGCCAACTACAGTTCAAGTCTCAACCTGACGGCTTGCTCTCTCGCTTTCTTTCTCTCTCTCCTTCTCTCATCAAATTAAAAAATAATTATAACAAATTATTTTATTATATATTATAAACAAATATACACACACATCTCTTTACCATTCTCTAAAGACTAAACAGTATTTGACTCTATGGTTACACTATTATTGTTTAATGTATCTTTTACTAACTTTTACTTTGTTCCCATTTTTTTATATCAACTGATACAGAATGTGTCCAGTTATTCCTTTTTTAAAAAATTAATAATTATTTACTATTTTAATGTATTATTTTAATTTGACCAGAGTGAGTGGGGCAGCGAGAAAGCAAGCTCCCAGGTCTGGGACTCAAATCAAGGTCAGTCAGGTCGAGTCCAGTGCCTTAATCACCATAGCACCTGCTAACCCCTGTCTAGTTACTCCTGTCACAGAGAATTTACTTATTTCTTTTTATTGCCAGAGGGTGTGTGCACTCACCAGAGGGAGGACGAGTGCATGAGCACACAGACCTCTCAGTCACGCGTAGACACACTGCAGTCCTTTTTCCTCCATTTCACTATCCCACCAGGATTCTGGGTGTGCACACACACATGCATCTGGCATATTTCTTGAAGACCGGGGTTGGAATTGGCATGAGTCAGTCATGTGAGATCTGGATCTCTGTACACAGCAGTTAACTCTGCACTGCAGGATGGGCTTTCATGGTGAATTTTTGACTACAGGTTATTCTATTTTTTTAAGATTTTTTTTTTTATCCTTTTTACAAAAGTTCTCCAGAAAGTTTACATCAGATTATAATCTCACTGCATGTACTTTGCCATATTGCTGTCCTTATGCCAACCATGACATTATTTTTCTTTATAATCTTCACTATTCTAGTAGGCCAAAAGTAATATATTAATATGTGCTTGCTTTTGTTTGCTTTCTAGTGTGGTTGGAAAAAAAAATATTTTATGATTATTAGCAGAATATCATTTTTCTCTAGTTTATTTTCACTTTATAACTGGTCTGTTTTCTTTTTCCTGATGTGACATTTGTCCATCTTGTTTTCTTTTTTATAGAGATTTTCGTTATCAGCCATGTATGCTCGTCAGAGAAAGAGAGACAGAAAGCAAGAAATCACCCCTCAAGGAGAATGGCCATGCCACAGTCCCTTCCCCTCCATTCTCCTCTCAGGATTTTGGGCACACACACACATGTGCCCAATGTGAGTTTTAAGCCACCAAATCCAGGAGTCGAACCGCGATCAACTACGTGGGAGTCCAGTGATGTAACCATTATGTCGTCTGCTGGTCCCCCATCTTATTTTGTTTTTGATAAAAAAAAAGGGGGGAGGCAGACTGTTTCCAATTCACATCCTCCTACCTCAGCCTCCTACCTGTGACTGCAGGTGTTCACCCCCATACCCAGCTCTTCTCTAGATGGTCAGCTGTGTTGCCCAAATCAGCCCTGAGCTTGCAGTCTTCCTGACTCCGCCTCTCAAGGTGCTGTGATGACAGACCTATACCACTAAGCCTAGCTTTTAAGTTTAGCTGGGAATTGAACCCATACCTTCTACATGGCCCTGGCCTACACATAACCCAATGCTGATATTTTTTTCTTGGTTTATCATTTGCCTGTTTAATTATGCTGTTTTCTTTCACACTGTTCAAAAACATCGACCTTTTATTACTTTACATTATTTCTGCTGCTGATATCTTAGGAAATTTATCTTTACTCTGCCCTGAAATTATATGAACATGCTCTGGATTTAAAATGAGTAGCTTTTTAACATTACTTTAGGGGCCAGTTTTTGGTATGGTGGATAAGGTGCTGGACTCCCACATGGCCGGCCACAGTTTGAATCCTAGATCTGGCATCTTGAAATCACACCCACAGGATTTTGTGCATGTGTGCCCAAAATTCCAGGAGGAAAATGAAGAAGAAGGGATTGTGGGATGGCCATCCCCTCCTGGGAGGTGATTTATCACTTTCCCTCTCACTGTCTGTCTGTCTCTCTCTGGCTTGTGTATGGTATGCCCAGATAGATAGATAGATAGATCTTTGCTGTAGGGTTTGTGTACCCCCTGAGGGGGAGGGGAAGAATGAGAGAGCATGTGAGAGAAAGTAAAGTCATTCCCCGAGGTGATGACTGTGTCATAATCCTCCATTCCTCTCCTGGGATTCGACCACATGTACCCATGATATTTCTCAAGCTGCTGAGTCCAGGAATCAAACCACACAGTTGGCCATGTGGGATCCAGCTACCTTAACTTCCACACCACCTGCTAGACCAGTAACTTGTTAGAAATTTCCTCTTGGGTTAGTTTTGTTTCAGTTTTGATTTTTTGTTTTTTGGGTTTTTGGTTTTTTTTTTTTTTTTTTGGGAGAGAGAGAAAGCATTTTTGCTATAAGGTGTGTGCACTCACCAGAGAGAAATCATCCTCTGGGGGAATAGCCAAGCTGCAGTCTGGGAGTTAAACTAGCATTTCAGTATTGAACATAAGTGAATTTTTTCTCTAATTTTCATAGTCTAAACAACTTTTTAGAAAGTTGTCAAGGGGCTGACAGGTGTGGTGGTTAGGGCACTGGACTTCCACATGACTGACTGCAGTTTGCATGCTGAACCAGTGGCTTGCTTTCTCAGTTTCTAACTTTTTATCTCTCTCCCTCTCTCTCACTCATGAGTGTATGTGCCCTATAGCAAATTTTAAAAATAATAATAATAAATAAAATTAAATAATTCTTTTAAAAAAAGAAACTGTCAATAGAGCCACGTCAATTTTAGATCATCTTTATGAATCTTTAAGAACAGAATGGATAATATTTTAAGACTTCAAGTTATTCACCCTTTTTCTTCGTTAGGTTGGCAAGTTTGACTGTTCCTCTGCACCAGACATCTGTAGTAATCTCTATGTATTTCAGCCATGTTTAGCAGTATTTAAAGGACAAGGAACCAAAGAATATGAAATCCATCATGGTAAGAATGGAAAAAATGATAAAATTAAGCTTCTTTTTCAAATAGAAATATTCTAATTATGCTTTTTGCCTTGTTTTGTATAAGCATGTTTGTTGTAAATAACTTTGTTCTCATTTACTAGAAAACATGGAGAAAGATATTTTGACTTTTATATGATTATTTTATTCTCTTTACTCTTCTCTTAAAATAAATCTAAGTCCTCCTTATTGGCAAATAAGGAACATCTATAGGTCCGTGTCCCATGATACCATCTTTGCTGTTACAGGCAGTTTCTAGCCATTCTTTTTGGTTTGCTTCTCCATTAACTGGTGACCTAGGATATGTTTTGCATTTATAATTAAAGTACTACAGTTCATCTTATATGGGACTGTTTCCTCTGCCTTCATGTAAGTATAGTTCCAGTTCTTAGCATTTGGGATATCAGAGTTCCTGTTCTGAACAAGGTGATGCATAGAAAAGAGATACACAAACTACCAACTATGACACAGTTAAGTGAATAGCAGAAATTAATGTCATGTCAGTTAGCTGTAAAGCACTGCTTCAGGTGTTAGTAATACAAAGTTAGGGGACCGACAGATGGTGTAATGGTTACATCACTGGACTCCCACATAGTTGACTGCAGTTTGAGTCCTGGACCCATAAGCTTGAAACTTATGCCTGGCGTATGTGTATGTGTGCCCAAAATCCCAAGAGCAGAATGGAGAAGGGATTATAGTGTGGCCATTCTCACTCGGTGGTGATTTTGCACTTTCTCTCTCTGTGTCTGTCTTCTGGCAAGTGCATGCACCTTATAGCAAAAAAATCTTTTTTTTTTTTTTTTGGAAAGGTTTTCACTATAGGGCGCGTGCACTCACCAGACAGAGAGAGACAGAGAGACAGAAAGCGAGAAATCACCCCCCAGGGGGAATGGCCACGCCACAATCCCTTCTCCATTCTCCTCTTGGGATCTTGGGCACGCACGCACACGCACCCGGTGTGAGTTTTAAGCCACCAGGTCCGGGACGTGAACCGTGGTCGACTATGTGGGAGTCCAGCGACATAGCCATTACGCTAACTGCTGGTTCCCCAAAAATCTCTTTCTTTAAGAAAAAAAAAAAAAATTAGAAGACCTGAACTCTTCTTCCAAGGAGTTAAATACAAGCTAGTAAGGGTAGAAGATCTATATGAAAATATGAAAAATATTTTAACCATGCCTTGACCTAAAAGTGTTAGAAATAACTGAATCTTACCAGTGGAGTTATGTTTTTTATACCTGTGGAATGTTTATCAGATTCTTCTCATTGTACTTGTTGCCTTCCTTCAGTTCACTGTCACCCTCATCTGTTTGCAATATCATCCTGCCATAAGACCACTCAATCCTAGCCTTTCTTCTGTATAGTTGATTCCTTATTCATCAGAACACCATTCTCATGTCACTTTTTCTTCCTTGACTCTCCTGAGTTCTGGTAGAATCCACTTCAGAGTCCTTAGCACAGAAGCAACACTTTTGTCTGTTTTGCTAACTGCCATACCTTCAGCAGTTAGAATGGTGCTTGGCACATAGTAGGAACTCAGTAGGAGGTGTTAAATGGGTGCAGTCATGATCTACCTCCATCAGTGTTTCTACCTTCATCTTTCACCTTCATACTTCCAAATGATTCTCACTAGCTACTTTAGGATCCCTGAAAATGCTGTGTTCTTTCCCTCCTCTGTGCCTTCAACACATGATGTTTCCTCCTGTATTGTAATTATTTTCTTTTGCTCCTCAAAATATTTAATAAATCCCAAGTCACCCTCCAAAACTTAAAGCAGTTTCTCCTCTGGGAAATAGACTAATCTCCAAGCACTTTCTTTCATAATGTAACTTGTTTCCTTGCATTTAAGTAGATGCTGAGCATCTGTGCATAACAGGGACAGTGCTGGGGAATAGGGGAAGTGTGAACTCTGCTTAATCTCTACCTCAAAGGACATTATGGATTAGGAGGGAAAACAGAAAAGTAAATGGACAAATTGTTTTGATATGTCTGAAACAAGGAGTATGAGTTACCTAGTGTTGCATAGTAAGTTATTCCAAAATTTAGCAGCTTTAAGTAACCAACCTTTTTTATTTTATAATTTTATAATTTCTTATTTATATTTGTTGTACATCATTGAAGGTTATGATATAGCTTTTCAAAGTATGCATGCAGTGTATGATAACCATATTTATCTTCAGCAAAAAACAGTATGTACACCTTCAGTGTTCCTTCTACTAGATGTTTTGTGGGGGTTTTTTATACATAGGTGATACTCTTATTTTTACCCTGTTATGGCATATTCTGTATTCTGTTTGCTTTGTTTATATGCATTCTTGGGTCTGCAACATATTTGTTTCTGACTCTCTTCCCCCTGCCTCTCATCACCTGTGTACTCTCTGGTATCTACAGGTGTCCTCTCTGTATTTTTGAAACTTCCCATTGATGCTATAGAGTACAGACATTTGGTATATATTAGATAAGGACAGTTTTGGTGGTCAGGAATCTGAGAACAACCTAGCTGGGTCATTTTGTACTTGGGTTTTCTCTCAAGGTTGCAAATGGGTAGGCAGAGGCTGTGGTCACCTGAAGGTTAGGCTATGGAATCTGTCTTCAAGCTGACTCATGAGATTGTCAGGAGGCCTCAAATAGCAGGAAGCAGGGTTCTTTTCTGGCTGTTAGCAGAGGCCTTTCTATAGAACTGCTCACAGTATGGTAGCTGACTTCTCTTTATTCGAATAATCTGAGAATGAATGAGTGAGAGTGAGACAAAAGTAACACTGTCTTTTATATCTGATCTCAGATAAGACAGACTCTCTGTTCCCCATATCTATCAGTTGCATAAACCAAACCTGGTACAATACAGTATGTGTACACAAAAAAGGGGATCGTTGGGGCTATCTTGGAAATTGGTTACCTCAAGAGATAAATTGATTGCACTTAGGAAGAAATTTAGGAGGAACAACCTTCTGGGGTTAGAGAAGGCCTTAAAGAAAGCAAAAGCTGGTTGAGACCTTAAGTATGTAATGGTTATCTAGATGAAACAGTGGTAAAGATATTCCAAATTGTGCTGATTCCAGGAATCATCAAATTTATTTATGGACTCTAAGATAGGAGAGAGCCACATTGATCTTAGCAAGCATTTTAGCAGAGCTAGAATGTTGTATGGTAAGAATGAAATTTGAGGGTAGAGAGACAGAAAAGATTTATATGTCGAAAATGTATGTGTCTGATTTGTCGGGTAAAGGAGCTTGCACTTGAAGGCAAAGTGGAGACATGCATACATTCAGGAAGAGAGATGATTTAACTAGTTCTACGTTTGAGAATGGTGACTGACTTCCTAAAATGGGTAGAAGCCAGATGGGAGGAATGGGGAGAACAGGCAGAAGCCAGAGGCAGTTAGAAGAATGGCTGCCTCACAAAATGATGGTAGTGAAGAGAATGGTGAAGAGAAGTAGACAAATTTTTTTTAAGATTTATTTTATTTATTTATTTATTATCATTATTATTCTTTCATTTGACCAGAGAGAAAGAGAGGGAAAGTGAGAAAGAAAAGTCACCAAGTCCAGTACTCAAACCATGGTCAGCCATGTGAGTGTCTGGCACCTTAACCCCCACGCCACCTGCTGGCCCCAAGTAGGCAAATTTTTTAAATACCAAGAATATAAATCAGTATAACTTGGTGATGGTTGTGGTGCAGGAGGACAGGAGAGAGGAGTCAAGGATAACACACCTACTTTTCTGAATTGGTAAATCGACAGTTGAGTAGTGGGACCATTCATTGAGGATGAGACCATTGAGTGGGGAGTTGATCTGCACTAAATATACCTAATTCATAGTTGAATATAGACCTGGGCCTGAGGAGAAGAGTTTGGGCTAAAACTGTAGATGTGAATGGTCATCATGTGATGATAATTGAAGCCTCAAATGAAGATGTGATTGTCTTAAGAGTGAGTAGAGAGAAAAGTAAATAATCAGAATCAGCATGAACAAAATCCCCTTGAAGGGATGGCCAGAAATAGCAAAATCCATGAATGAATTCACAGAATGGCAGCTAAAATAGAAGAAAAAGGCATAAAAATGTGATGTTATCATTCTATGTTTAAATATTTCTTTGAGGAGCCAACAGATAGCATAGTGGTTATGTCGCTGGACTCCCACAGAGCTGACTGCAGTTTGAGTCCCAGACCCAGTAGCTTGAAAATCACACCAGGCCCATATGCATGCATGCCCAAGACCCCAGGAGAAGGGATTGCTGTGTGGCCATTTCTCACTTTCCCTTTCACCATTTCTGTCAGTCTCTCCAGCAAGCACACACACCCTATGGCAAAAACCTCTGCTACATAAATAAATAGATAAATATTTCTTTGAATGTTTTTCTTTCATCCTCTGGGTTACAAACTCTTTAAGGAGAAGAATTACGATCTTCTGTTATTTTTACATGCCCTACACAATTTAAAATAGGATCTGAAACATAATAGATACTTGACTTAATTTTGACTATGCGAAGTCGCTTGGGTAAATGAATTAGGATTTGGTTGAAAAAGAAATTATGTACCAAGCCAACGAGTATATTCTTTTTTTCTCTTTTTAGATTTTTAGAGAAAAGTTTTTGCTATAGGGTGCATGTACTCCCCAGAGAGACAGAAAGTTAGAAATCACCCCCTAGGTGGGATGGCAACACCTCAGTCCCTTCTCCTCCATTCTCCTCTTGGGACTTTAGGCATGCACACACACAAGCTCAGCATGAGTTTAAGCTGCGAGGTCTGGGACTCCAACCGCCATCCACTATGTGGGAGTTGAGCAACCTAACCATTATACCATCTCCTAGTCCCTCTCTTTAGGTTTTTGCCATAGAGAACATACACTCGCCCGGGAGAGGCAGGAAAGTGAGAAATCACTCCCTCGGGGTGGGGGAATGGCCACTCTGCAGTGCCTTCTCCATTCTCCTCTCGGAATTTTGGATATACTTACACATGCACCCGGTGTGTTTTTCAAGCCACCTGTTCTGGACTCAAACCTACTTGGCATGTGGGATCTGGTGCCCCAAGCATTATTGCCACCAGCTGACCCCAAGGAGTATATTCTTTAGGCAGTGACAAATCATCAGAGGCATTTAAGTAGGGACAGTATGATCAAATTGATGTTTTGATGAGTTCACTGTGATAGCAATGTGAAAAATGGATTCATTAAGGAAGGCTGAGGACAGAAACACCAGCTTAGTTATAGGCCAGACTGAATTCTAGCAGTGACAGCGGGGATGGAGATGGTAAGACAGAATGAATGGAGTTAGGAAATAAAGGCAAAGAAAGAAGGCAAAGTTCACTCTTAGGAGTCTTGATCATGGACTTAGTAGATGACTCTGTCATTGCAAAGATAGGAAAGATGAGAAAAGGAGCAAGTTTGAAGTAAAATAACTCAACTTCACTTTAGACAAACTGTGTTTGAACATTTTATGAGATCTCCGAGTAAATTTTTCCACTGGGTAGTTGACAATATAGGTTTTGAATTCATGAATTAAAAAGCCAGGGCTTGGTTAGGGAAAAAAAAAAAAAACAGATTTAGGAGTTAGACAACGAGTAATAGCTGAGGTGACCATAAAGAATTTAAAGAACTAAGGTAATGCTTTATCTTTATTGGAGGTTAAAGGAATAGTTCAGAGGTTTTGACATTTTAACTAGTCCAGCAAACAAGAGTGTGCAAGGAAAGGAGACTCTTGGCAGAATAAACTCATGTGTAACATACAGAACACCAAAACCTCATCCAAATCAATGTGTTCATGTTTGTCTACCTATAATATGTGGGTATCAAAACTTTGAAATGTTAGTGTGGTTACAAAAGGCAGAATGTGAATTTTAATTTTTTTCTTATTTAATTTCAAAGGAAAGAAGATTCTGTATGATATACTTGCCTTTGCCAAAGAGAGTGTTAATTCTCATGTCACCACACTTGGACCTCAAAATTTTCCTGCCAATGACAAAGAACCATGGCTTGTTGATTTTTTTGCCCCTGTAAGTTATTTTTACCTATCAAATTTTGATATTGTCAGATTTTCTTTTGTCATGACAAAAAAAAATCTCGATAACCTTAAATCATCCGTACTAGACTGCCATTTACTTTGGTCTCTATCGCATTTTGCTTCTGTGTGAACACTGACGTAGTTACCTTTCTGAGGGTTAAGTATATACCTGTAAGATTTGTCACTAAGTATAGTTTGTGTATCTTAGTACATTGCTTGTTGCAAAATTGACATGTTCCTTTGTTTCATTTGTCTCAGTGCTCAAGAATTTTTACTTTTTCCTAGTGGTGTCCACCATGTCGAGCTTTACTGCCAGAGTTAAGAAGAGCATCAAATCTTCTTTATGGTCAGCTTAAGTTTGGTACACTAGATTGTACAATTCACGAAGGGCTCTGTAACATGGTAAGGCAAAGCACAAAAATTATTTCTAGTTAATGTTTTTATAAAATAGAGACCATTTGGCAGTTTAATATTGAAACAATAAAATAACCTTTTCAAATGTACATCTTCCATTTAGAGTTGTTAACAAATTATTTAAATAAATATTCAACAAAATAATATTAAGTTATGATTGGATTAAAGCTTGAGTGGGTAGTTTATTTTGTAAAATGTCAATAAGCTCTGATTTACCACTCTGCAGTGCCTTCTCCATTCTCCTCTCGGAATTTTGGATATACTTACACATGCACCCGGTGTGTTTTTCAAGCCACCTGTTCTGGACTCAAACCTACTTGGCATGTGGGATCTGGTGCCCCAAGCATTATTGCCACCAGCTGACCCCAAGGAGTATATTCTTTAGGCAGTGACAAATCATCAGAGGCATTTAAGTAGGGACAGTATGATCAAATTGATGTTTTGATGAGTTCACTGTGATAGCAATGTGAAAAATGGATTCATTAAGGAAGGCTGAGGACAGAAACACCAGCTTAGTTATAGGCCAGACTGAATTCTAGCAGTGACAGCGGGGATGGAGATGGTAAGACAGAATGAATGGAGTTAGGAAATAAAGGCAAAGAAAGAAGGCAAAGTTCACTCTTAGGAGTCTTGATCATGGACTTAGTAGATGACTCTGTCATTGCAAAGATAGGAAAGATGAGAAAAGGAGCAAGTTTGAAGTAAAATAACTCAACTTCACTTTAGACAAACTGTGTTTGAACATTTTATGAGATCTCCGAGTAAATTTTTCCACTGGGTAGTTGACAATATAGGTTTTGAATTCATAAGACAGGTCTTGGTTAGGGAAAAAAAAAAAAAAACAGATTTAGGAGTTAGACAACGAGTAATAGCTGAGGTGACCATAAAGAATTTAAAGAACTAAGGTAATGCTTTATCTTTATTGGAGGTTAAAGGAATAGTTCAGAGGTTTTGACATTTTAACTAGTCCAGCAAACAAGAGTGTGCAAGGAAAGGAGACTCTTGGCAGAATAAACTCATGTGTAACATACAGAACACCAAAACCTCATCCAAATCAATGTGTTCATGTTTGTCTACCTATAATATGTGGGTATCAAAACTTTGAAATGTTAGTGTGGTTACAAAAGGCAGAATGTGAATTTTAATTTTTTTCTTATTTAATTTCAAAGGAAAGAAGATTCTGTATGATATACTTGCCTTTGCCAAAGAGAGTGTTAATTCTCATGTCACCACACTTGGACCTCAAAATTTTCCTGCCAATGACAAAGAACCATGGCTTGTTGATTTTTTTGCCCCTGTAAGTTATTTTTACCTATCAAATTTTGATATTGTCAGATTTTCTTTTGTCATGACAAAAAAAAATCTCGATAACCTTAAATCATCCGTACTAGACTGCCATTTACTTTGGTCTCTATCGCATTTTGCTTCTGTGTGAACACTGACGTAGTTACCTTTCTGAGGGTTAAGTATATACCTGTAAGATTTGTCACTAAGTATAGTTTGTGTATCTTAGTACATTGCTTGTTGCAAAATTGACATGTTCCTTTGTTTCATTTGTCTCAGTGCTCAAGAATTTTTACTTTTTCCTAGTGGTGTCCACCATGTCGAGCTTTACTGCCAGAGTTAAGAAGAGCATCAAATCTTCTTTATGGTCAGCTTAAGTTTGGTACACTAGATTGTACAATTCACGAAGGGCTCTGTAACATGGTAAGGCAAAGCACAAAAATTATTTCTAGTTAATGTTTTTATAAAATAGAGACCATTTGGCAGTTTAATATTGAAACAATAAAATAACCTTTTCAAATGTACATCTTCCATTTAGAGTTGTTAACAAATTATTTAAATAAATATTCAACAAAATAATATTAAGTTATGATTGGATTAAAGCTTGAGTGGGTAGTTTATTTTGTAAAATGTCAATAAGCTCTGATTTATCAAACTCATACAAATATATTTGATTTGGGGACCAGCAGTTGGCATAATGGTACATCTCTGGATTCTCACGTGGTCAATTGCAGCTCGAGTCCCGGACCTGGTGGCTTAAAATTTACTCTGGGGGCTCGTGCATGCATGCCCAAAATCCAAGAGGAGAATGGAAGAGAAGGGATTGCAATGTGGCCAGCCCCCATGGGATGATTTCTCACTTTCTGTCTCTGTCTCTTTGGCGAGCATATGCACCCTATAGCAAAAATCTCTCCAAATAAGTAAATATAGTTGATTTGATGAATGTTTAAATGATTTCCTATTTATTAAAGACCTTTGTGTTTCTTTAATTTGTTATTACCACTTGGAAATCTTATAATTTTTATTCTTTATATTTCCTCATATTTGTCTTAAATGTATTTAATAGAAGTAAGTTAAAACAATAAATGAACTTTATGAAAGCTTTGTTACATGAAAATATTTTCTTAGGTAAATAAATATTCACTACTTGGTTCCAGAGAGAACTAGAAATTATAAATTTCATGATGAAAGTATATAAATCACTTATGAAATATTCTTTACAAAAAATAAATAAAAAGTAGATCAGAGCCTTCACATCTAATACTTTAGAGAATCTAATGACAGTATAGAGACTTAAAGGACATTTCAATCAAATGCAGTGTTTAGACTTTGTTTGGATGCAGTTCAAACCAACCAACTGCAAAAAAAAAAAAAAATTTGAGGAAATCTACTGATACGATATCTGATGATTTTCAGAAATTGAGTGTTAATTTTTAAATATGAAAATGGTGCTGTGTTATTTTTGGCAGAAGAGTCTATACTTTTATATTTAGTTTTTTGTTTTTTTTTTAAAGAGGTTTTTGATACGGCGCATGTGCTCGCCAGAGAGACAGAGAGAAAGAGAAAAATCGCCCCCCCCCAGGGGAATGGCCTCACTACAATCCCTTCTCCTTCATTCTTCTCTCAGGATTTTGGGCATGCACACATACTCACCAGTCGTGAGTTCTAAGTCACCAGGTCTGGGGGTCAAACCATGGAAGACTACGTAGGAGTTCAACAAAGGAATCATTATGCCATCTGCTGGTCCCAAGTCTATATATTTTAAATGAACTTACTGAAATATTTATGGTGGTATTTAAATAATCTTGGGATAGGAGTAAGAGGAGGGGCTAGGAATTGGTATGACAAGAGTCTCCATGAATGGATGATCCTTTCAGGTACATGAGAGCTTATTGCTCTTTACTTTTTTTTTTTTTTTTTTTTGGAGAAAGTTTTTTTTTGTTGTTGTTTTTTTTTGTTTGTTTTGTTTTTGCTACAAGGCGTGTGTGCTCACTGGAGAGAAAGAGACAGAAAACAGATCACTCCTTGGAGTGGGCATGGCCATGCTGGATTCCTTTCTCCTCCATTCTCCTCTTGGGACTTAAAGCATTCACACACATGCATGCACACACGCACCTGGTGTGAATTTCAAGCTTCCAGGTTAAGACTTGAACCGCAGTTGGCCATGTAGGAGTCCAGTGCCTTCACCATGCCAGCTACTGGCCCCATTTTTGTGAATGTTTTAAATAACTCATGAAAATAAAAACTTTTTAAAAATGATTCATGAGGGCGATATAAAAAGGAAAAAGAGGAAGAAAAAGAAGTGAAATAAAGATGTCATTAAAACCTAACAGAAGTAAATATAGAGGAAAGTCTTCATGGCATCTTTGTGGGGAATAATTTTTTACCCCACACAAACAAAAATACTATAAGAATAAAAATTACTTAATTTGGGGCCATCTGGTGACTTAGAGGCTAATGCACTAGATCCCACATTGCCAACTGTGCTATTTGAGTTTTAGGCCTAGTGGTTTGAAAATCATGCCAAGGTGCATGTGTGCCTAAAATCCCAAGAGGAGCCCGGAGGAGAAGGGATTATGGCATGGCCACAGTCTTGGGGGGAACAAGATAGCTCACTTTGTCTCTCGCTCACTCTCTCTTTTTTTCTGCCTCTCTATGGCCAACACATGTCTTTTACAGAGAAAAATAAAAATAAAAACAAAAAAAAAATTATCAAATATTAATGAATTTGACTACTTTAAGTGGTGAAACTATTTTCAAAGACATTATGTTAAGTCAAACTGTTAAAAACTCAATAGAAAAAAATGAGAAAGGCTTTAGAGATTTACATCATAGAAATTTAATAAAAATCTGAAAATATTTTACATTTCTGGTCATCAAGAAAATGGAGGACCAACGTTGGTGGTACTTGCTAAGATGCTGTGCTCCACAGACTGAAACCATACAGGAGGCCCAGATGTCATTCCTGGTCCAACTTAAAAGCCAAGTGCAGTGGCGTGTACCTGTGATCCTAGCAGCTCAGTGAGGCTGAGACAGGAGTTTGTGAGCTCAAGGCTGACCTGGACAATAAGAGTAAGACTTTGTCTAGAAAAAATGAGCTAGTTATGGTAGCATGCCTCTGTATGTAACAGGTGTTAACTGGGAGGCTAAGGTAGGAGGATCACAACACAGTGAGACCTCATCTTTTTTTTTTTAAAAAAAAGGCAAATTTTTGGGTCATCAGAAAAGTCATGACATGTTTTTCTATGTAAAAAATATGTCATGGAGACCAGCAGTTAGCGTAATGGCTACGTTGCTGGACTCCCATGTAGTTGACCGGGGCTTGAGGCCCAGACCCGGTGGCTTAAACTCACGCCAGCCACATGTGCAGACGTGCCCAAGATCCTGAGAGAATGGAGAAGGGTTTGCGGCGTGGCCATCCCCCCTGGGGGGTGGTTTCTCACTTTCTGTCTCTCTGTCTCTGTCTTTCTGGTGAGCACACGTGCCCTTTAGCAAAAATCTCTCCCAAAAAAAGAAAAATAATGTGTCATGACTTCTTACAAACCAATATAACAAAACTCATATGCTCTCCCCACCCATCACATTAACCAAAATGTATAAATCTGATAATAGTGTGTATATGGACAAATAAGTTATCTAGTCACAGAGGAATACAATAGCGTATAGGACACTTAAAACTATTTATGTCTTTAATCAGTCTAGGTAAGTCTCAAAAATCCACTGAGAAATGAAAAAAAAAAAGGTTGTAAATTATATACAGATTCTTACAAAATCACGAAAAGTTTTTTAAATGTTCACTCAGAACAGTACTATTTACAGTATTACAGCACACTGCTTATGGATGTATATGCATGTTACAAAAGTTACAAAAACATCAGTGAATTGTATATACACTGATTTCAGGTTATGACCCTAGCATAAGGAAGCAAATGAGATCAAGGAAAAGAATGTTAACTATTGGACAGTATGGCCAAAAGTTAATCCTCGTAAAATATAACACAAAGATTTACAGGTGTTGATTAGATTATTCTTTCTTCTTTTCAGTGTACTTGAATTTTTTTTTTCACCATGAATCAAATTTCCTCAAAAGGAGAATTTTATTGATTACTTTATTCTCTCACAAATAGACCAACTATAATTAAATGAGGTGAACATTTACCTCAAGATTTTGTTGCCTTCATAATAGAAAAGATGAGGCTTAGAACTGGATCACTTGACCCGTTCTCTTATCTCCTCCCAGTTCAAAATGCTTATATCTCTTAATAGCCAGCATTCTCTTAGATCTGTAGTTGAGTTCAACACATTGTAGCCTCAGCGCAATCTTCTTTGTAGTTTTTGCCTTTTTCTGGAAAATAGCCTTAATCTGTCTACCATAGCCACTCTACCTCCTGTCATAATGCCGCTTTCCTTGAGCATGTAGAGTCCTTGCCCTTTCTGTACTGTGTCACTTTATGAAGTTGGTGCTTGCCACACTTCTTACAGAAGGTCTGGCGGCTTTTAGGGACGTTCACCATGCTTGCGGGCCTGCTATCTGCACAGAAAGCGTATTTGAAATTGTATTAAGCTTTTAAAAAATAAAGGGAACGAACAGGGCCTTCTGTTTTGAATGTCACGTATGTGACTTTCAAGAGAAATGACAACCAAAGATACCAAATAAATGTAATAAACAATAGTTGTCTTCATTTATATTCCTTTAGTTTTTCTACTTTTTATCTAGTAAAAGCATAATGGTTTACTAAAAAAACCATGGTGTCAGATTCACCTGAAATGGAAGCCAGGACTCACTTCCTACTAATTAGTTGCCATTCACTGATTGATTGACCTGGACCAAGTCACTTAGCCTCTCAACTCAGTTTTTTCTAATGAGTTATGTAATTTTAGCTACTGAATAAAATTGTTGAGAGGAATAAATGAGAGGCTACATGTTAACTCCTAAAGTAATGCTGGATACATAGTAATCATTTGTTTACTTTTAACTATTGAATATAATTGTTTTATTGATCTAATGAGTTACTTGAATTTACACACATTTCCCCAAAACTTTGATATATGTTGCTATTGTTTCTAAAGTTATTTCTGAATCCTCATCAGAGATTTTGGTTTGCAAATGAGTGCTTATCCCAACATTAAGGATGTAAAGTTCAGCTATGACAAATCCAGAGATAGGAATCTCTTTGTAACTTTAAAAAAAAAACAGTTAGCAAGATACTTCCTGGACTGGTGTCCATGTTCACTCTGAGGAAGAAATTAAACTTTTTGAGTATTTTGCTATATGGGCTATCTTGAACAGGAATAAAAAGTGACCACATTCTTAGGGCACAATTACTAATTTAAAATATAGTCATGTGCATATTAATTATTCATTTCTTTATTATTGCTATTTTATTTCTTTTATCATCTACTTCTAGCAAAAGTGACGTATGTATTATGGTTTCAAAAAAAAGACTTAAACTAAAGAGCAAAGCTGCTCTTGACGGTGTCTTCTGACCTTGGTTGAGTAGAGTAAAAATGAAACAAGCACACAATTATTCCTACTTGCTTCTCAGCAATGTGATGCCTATGGTATTTATGGCAAACCCATTTCTTTTGCCAAATTTGGCTAGGTTCAAATTACTCACCGGCAATTAAGCAGTTGGTTTTTAAAATCTTATTGTTACTTAAGGCAGGCTGCGTATACATTTGAAACAAACAGGTGAAATATGTAAAAATCCTTTTTTAATTTATATTCTCCCTCCTAACAGTATAACATTCAGGCTTATCCAACAACAGTTGTATTCAACCAGTCCAACGTTCATGAGTATGAAGGACATCACTCTGCTGAACAGATCTTGGAGTTTATAGAGGTATTTCAAGTTGCAGCCTGTTGCTAGAATCTTTTCTCTTAATTTATATAATTTATATGAATATTTAATAATGTTTACTAATGAGATTTATTATTTTCATGCCAAACATTTTCTGATAAGAAATAGGCTTTTTTAAATGTTTCTAATATTTTACTCTTCTGTATATACTTGTTTTTTTTATTTTTTTTGGAGAAATTTTTGCTGTAGGGTGCATGCGCTCACCAGACAGAGAGAGACAGAAAGCAAGAAATCACCCCACCAGGGGGGATGGCCACACCGCAACCCCTTCTCCTCCGTTCTCCTCTCGGGATCTTGGGCATGCACGCACACGCACCCGGTGTGAGTTTTAAGCCACCAGGTCCGGGACGCAAACCTCGGTTGACTACGTGGGAGTCCAGCGACATAGCCATTACACTAACTGCTGGTCCCTATACTTGTCTTTTAACTCAGAATAATAAGTCTGTGTTTTGTTAACCTTGTATAGTTCTTTATACATAATGGATACCACCATTTATTAAATAAATGCAATTATACTTTCACATAACCTTGCCTTTTTTCTCTGAAAACAGAAGTGCCCTGTATCCACAACATTTTTCCCACCAATAGTCTTGACTAACTAAAATAGAGGCTTCCCAAGAAAGAAAAAATTCTAGCTTATTGTTCTTTAATGACCATCCTATTCTTTCATGCCATCTCTTCTCCAAAGTAGTGTTTTGTGTTGTTTTGGATTGTTTTCCCTGTAAAGCTAACTTCTTCCTTAGTACTGCCTGATGGTAACAGCCTGGAACTTTGTTAAAACAGCATTTGTAACATACTATATAGAAGTTGTGCAGTATCTCCAATAAGAATATCAGAACAATGAGACAGGCTTTCTATTAGTAATTAAAGGGTCCTTTCCAAATCAGTCATTCATTTCAGAACAGAATTATGTGGCCTGTGTAGAAATCTGGCAGTTCTTGGAACTCTTAAATTATGTACATTTAGTATTAAGTAAAGTTGCTTCTTTCCCCTCCTCCAGTGATTTTAGTGATAAGAGAAAAATATACCTTCATTTTAAAAAAACTAATAGAGAAAATAAAAACTCAATATAAATTAGGGATCATTTTCATTTTTAAAAAATAATTTACTATGGGACCAGTAGTTGGCATGGTGGCTATGTCGCTGGACTCCCATTTAGTCAACTGCAGTTCGAGTCCTGGACCTGGTGGCTTAAATTCAACCTGGGCACATGTGCATGCATGCCCAAGATCCTGAGAGGAGAATATAGGAGAAGGGATTGCAGTGTGGCCATTACCCCTGGGGGGTGATTTCTCGCTTTCTGTCTCTCTCTGTCTTTCTGGCAAGTGCACACACCCTATAGCAAAAACCTCTCAAAGAAAAAAAATTTTTTTTCTATGGGCCCAGCTTCTGTAACACAGTTGGGTGCTAGAAGCTACAGTTTGAGTCCTGGCCAGGTAGACCTGAAAACACACTGTGTGTGTGTTCATACGTCCAATCCTGGCAGTTCGCAGGACTGAAGAAGTGGTTCATGGTGTGACCAAGTTACCATCCACCCTGTCTGTCTCTCTATGTGTATCTCACACACCCGCCTCTCTCTCTCCCTCCCTTGCTCTCTCTCTTGTTCTTTCCCCTTCCAGGATTCTGGTAGGCTAGAGGACTGAGGAAGGGCTTCACAGCATCACTGAGCCCTGTGCTCTCCACCCTCCTTGTGTCCATTTAGTGTTATATTTTCTTTAGATATCTTTAAGCATGGGGCCAGCAGGTGGCTTAGCTATATGTTGTTGCTGGACTCCCACATGGCCAACTGTGGTTCAAGTTCTGGACCTGGTGGCTTGCAACTCACTTCTGGGTACATTTGTGTGCATGCCTAAGATCCTAGGAGGAGAATGGAGGAGAAGGGATTGCAGCATGGCCATCCCCCTCAGGAATGTTTTCTCACTTTCCCTGTCACTGTTTCTTTCTTTCTCTCTCTCTCTCTCTCTCTCTCTTTCTCTCTCTCTCTCTGGCAAGCGCACAAGCCCTAAGGTGAAAACCTTTACTAAAATAAAAAGGTAATATCCTTAAACATTTTTTAATTTCTCAAAAGCTGGAACTTTCTAAATGACGTATACCAACAATTTGCCAAGACTGTATGAATAATTCTTTTTTTATACCTATTATAATAGAAGCTATATTCTCTTTAGGATCTTATGAATCCTTCAGTGGTCTCCCTTACACCCACCACTTTCAATGAACTAGTTAAACAAAGAAAACATGACGAAGTCTGGATGGTTGATTTCTACTCCCCATGGTGTCATCCATGTCAAGTCTTAATGCCTGAATGGAAAAGAATGGCCCGGGTATAGTAAAATTGTTTATTTAACAGAATTATTCTGAAACTGAGATGAATGAACCTAGTAGGTTATTGAATAGTAGTACAGATCATATTTAGATTCCATCTCTGTGTCTGCCTATTAGATGAGCTGTGTGCCACTTTTGACCAAATTGTTGCTAATGTCAACCCAAAGATCCCCTTTATTTTCTATCTGAATTTTTCCTATCACTTTATTTTTAGAGCCCAAAGATTATTTTTTGACAATATTGTGGACTTGGAAGGAAAAAAAAAATACAGCCTTGAGCAGTAAAATGTTAGAAAATACCTAGCATATAGACATAGCATTATAAATCATGATACATTGAAAGCAAATTATTTAAATACAAGAAGGAAAATGCAACTTATAGATTATATTCATTTCTAGAATAAAAAATAAATCTGAGTTTAAGTAATTTCTAGTTCCCTAATATTTTGTACTCTTTTCAATAAAATTTTTAAATTTAGATGTGAATCAATAGGATACCTGCAATGCTTGCTCCTGATAGAAAAAGTCATTCTTTGGAATATCATTGCAAAGAATTTTATTAGTTCTTGGTTTCTAACACTTACATTTTAGAAATACATAATTTTTCCCATAAAATAGTTTGATAATGTCAGTTTACTCTGCACCAATTGTAGTAAGTTCTTAATTGTAAAATTATGTATTAAACCATTTTGCCTTTTTATTTAGTGAAAATCACTAGTAAGTTATATGAACATTTCACAGTAACTATTATAAACATAGTAAAAAGTTATAGAGATAATTTTATTCTTATCACTTTGATATTATTTATATCTTTTTTCTTTTATAGACATTAGCTGGGCTGATCAATGTGGGCAGTATTGACTGCCAACAGTATCATTCTTTTTGTGCTCAAGAAAATGTTCAGAGATACCCTGAGATAAGATTTTTTCCTCTGAAATCAAATAAAGCTTATCAGTATCAGTAAGTATTCTCTTACATTTGAAGTCACTTACTATAATTTAATAACATAGTATTAAATACTTAATAATATAATTTAATAATATAGTAAGCATTTATGTTATCCTATCTAGAAAGTTAACCCAACAACTAGTTATTGGGAGCCCACATATTTAAGATAGTGTGTTAATGAGCACTTCAGAAAAGAGAGGATCTAACAATCCTACTCTTCATGAAGCTTCATCTAATCAAGAAGATAAGGATGGGACCAGCAGTTAGCATAATGGCTATGTCACTGGACTCCCATGTAGTTGACCGCGGTTCGCAACCCGGACCCGGTGGCTTAAATTCACGCCAGGCGCATGTGTGTGCGTGCCCAAGATTCTGAGAGGAGAATGGAGGAGAAGGGATTGCGGTGTGGCCTGGGGGGTGATTTCTCACTTTCTGTCTCTCTGTCTGTCTGGCGAGCGCACGCGCCCTATAGCAAACACCCTCGCAAAAAAAAAGGGGGGGGGTGACCATCAGTTAGCGTAATGGCTATGTCGCTGGACTCCCACGTAATCGACCGCAGTTCACGTCCTGGACCGGGTGGCTTAAAACTCACGCCGGGCATGTGTGTGTGCATGCCCAAGATCCTGAGAGGAGAATGGAGGAGAAGGGATTGTGGTGTGACCATCCCCTTTGGGGGATGATTTCTCGCTTTCTGTCTCTCTGTCTCTCTCTGTCTGTCTGGCGAGCGCACTTGCCCTATAGCGAAAACTTCTCCAAAAAAAAAAGAAGAAGATAAGGAAAAGAAGAGCTAGCATTTCTTAAGTCCTTATTTGGTTTCAGGTACTGTACTAGATACTTGACTCACATTATTTCTACCTCATGTATGCTCTCTGTGAGATAGGAGTAAATACCCTTCCTACGTTACAGAGTTGTAAACTGTGATTTTCGGGGCTTCGATAACTTTTCCAAGTTGTGCTGCTACTACGGTTTGAAGCTGGAATTTATACCCAACTCTGTCTCAGTGCCTGTAGTATTTCCACAGTACCATGTGGTATTTCAGGTAGAAAACTCAAATATAGAGTGGAATATGATAAATGTTATTAAAGAATACAAGCCTGGGATTTTAAATGAGAGTGATCACAACTGTGAAGAAATGATATAGAGCTGTGTTTTTGAGGTAGCTTTTGACATGAGTCTTTAAATATGGGTGGGAATTTGATAGACAATGACAACTTGAATAAAAGTTCAGAAACTAAAGCCTTGCATAGGTAGCTAGACATTTCTCTCTCGAACCCAAATAGATATATCAAGACTAGAGAAAAATGTACTGGAAAAGCCATATAGCCCACATTGAACTGATCAATGTGGGCTCTGTAGACTGCCAACTGGATCACTCTTTTTGTGCTCAAAAAGTGGAAATACATAACCAGAATTTGTAACTAGATATATCAAAGAAGAGGGATGCTAGATGAAGTCATTCAGCTACTTCTTTTTTTAATTGCCACAATAAGATTGTTTTCTGAATATATCCAATAATAGAAAACACTGTTTACAGCTAATATAATGTTTTCTTCTTTCAGTAGTTACAATGGTTGGAATAGAGATGCTTACTCCCTACGAATCTGGGGTCTGGGGTAAGTCATTAAAATACATATTATATAAACTAGAATCAATGCTGTCAACTTTCTTCTTATATCAATAAATTTACTGTGAGTTGTTCAAGGTTCTAGCATTTTAAACTTCTTGGTAAAGGTTTATGTTCACCAGGATAGGGCTGTGTTCTGCTACATTGCCATTCTTTGAAGTCATTTTCAATTTAGAAAATCTTGTAATATTACTATATTTTAGATGTGTCTTTGGTTTTTCTATAATGAAAAATTATTTTAATTTGTTGCTGCAGATTTTTACCTCAAGTGTCCATAGATCTAACACCTCAGACTTTTAATGAAAAAGTTTTACAAGGGAAAAATCATTGGGTGGTTGATTTCTATGCTCCTTGGTGTGGACCTTGCCAAAATTTTGCTCCAGAGTTTGAGCTCTTGGCTAGGGTAAGTCTTATGTACTTAATTAAGTTGTAGTCACATGCATGTTTTAAATAGATACAAATTTATCATTTTAATTCTAAATTTGTTCTTCTGAATTTAAAAAAAAAGGTAACTTTTCTATGAGTGTAAACTTTGCAGTAGATTTCTTCCTCTTAAAGCTTTTAGCTGATGTCTTTTCTGTGTTGGTTGACATCGCCATCATTTACTTAGCCATGAAAGCCAGAAACCACTCTTCTGCTTGTCTTTTACTTCTTCCACCGCACCAATACTGCTACCCCTGGGCGATGACTAGATCCCATCAGTTCTGTCTCCGAGATGTCTTTAAGGTCTGTCATCTCTTGTTCATCTCTACTGCAAGCCTCTTTGTTCAAGTCTTCATCATCTTTCATCTGGACTTATATTTGCCTTCTAGTTAGTCTCACACTGCCAGTCCAGTTTCTTCAGTGCTGCTTACACTCCAGGCACAACAGAGAACTCCATGTCGTCTGAACGTATGTCCTTATGTGTGCTTGCTCTCTCCACAGTGCTGTACCGGTGCCTTATCTGGATTATTTTTCTTCTTATCTTGAAAAGCTCAGCTGCAACAGCAGTTCTCTATTCTCTGCCCTTCTCAGTTAATCAGCATCATCTTGATATCTTATCCTCTCTCAGTATACATATAGTGCACATTATACCATTTTTTTTTTACATCATTATTTCTTCCATAGACCATGAGTTTCTTATTTTTTTTTTTTTTGAGAGGGTTTTGCTATGAGTGTGTGCTCTCCAGAAAAGAGAGACAGAGGGGAAAAAGTGGAGCCTCCCCCCCCCCCCCGGGGGGGATGGCCACGCCACAATCCCTTCTCCATTCTCCTCTTAGGATCTTGAGCACACACGCACATGTGCCTAACATGAGTTTAAGCCACTGAGTCTGAGACTCAAACCACGGTCAACTACATGGGAGTCCAGTGACATAGCCATTATGCCAACTGCTGGTCCCTTAATTCTTAAGGACAAGGTCCATGTCTCCTCTATCTTTATATCCCCAGTGCCTACTTATTAAGTGCCTTTGCAGGTGAACTGAATCTACCTCCCTCAATGCAGAGTTTGCATTTGGAGCTTCTTTCTTTCATACAGTCCTATGAATGACTAATCCACATTGATAGTTTCAATCCTACCTAATTCAAGGGGCTCTTGCTGTTGGTAAAATTTTTATTAAAATATGAAAGTCAGCACCAGTTTCAGTTGTCCAAAATAAAATCCCAAGCCATGGGAATTTTTAAACAGAGATTTCAAGGCTCCTATAACCTTATAAAAGATTACTTTAGTTATTGACTGGTGCTTCAAATAAAAGATTATTTATGCTTTCTACTTATTTTGATCTTTTCTTCTTGCACATTCTTTTTGCCAGTAATTCTAACAAAATATTTTACTTACTCATCCTTAACTTAGCTATATATAAACTTTGAAATACAATGATGTCTTGAATGTGGCAGAATATTAATGAACATGGGGAATATTGTTCATTCAACAAATCCTAAGCACAAAATGAAAAGCATTTTGCTAGGTTCTAGGACTACAAAGATAAAAAGACAAAAACTTCATGCATTTATGGAGAGTTTATTCTAGTAGAAAGGCAAAATGCAAATAAGCATATATAATACAATGATAGAATTGCTATAGTAAAAATTAAAGTGAAATCAGAACACAAAAATGTCAGAATCCTATCTGGAATGCAGAAGACTCCAGCAGGGACCTCCTCTGTATAGTTGTGGTATAGTTCTAATGTGCTGTTCTAGAAACACTAGATCCTACATGGCGACCACAGTTCAGATCCCCAGCCAGGTCAGCCGAAAACACACTAGGCTCAGTGTAAGCAGCCGGGATGCTACCACACTGGAGAGCTAAAGGAAGGGGCATGACCAACCCTTGCAGAGGGTTTTCTGTGTCTCCTCTATGTCATATGCGCATACACACACATACCCACTAATCATCATTTTTTTAAAGGGGAGTATGGGCTGCAGCAGTTAATATCTGAGAATTACTGCATGAATAGTTTGATCTGTAAAAGGTTTAACTGGAGAGCACTGCAAGCAGAGGACAGTATTTGCTATGGTACAGAGAAATGAGGGAACCAGACCTGTTCAGGGATCTCCATTGTTAACTCCAGTAATACCAGATAGAAATATGGAAGGGGGGTGGAAAAAACTGAAGCTCAAAAAATAGGCAAGAAAGGTTTAGTCCTTTGCCTCCACACTGTCATGCTAAGCAGTCTGCCTCTGTGATTTTGTACTATTCAGAATATATTCTACTAAGCATTAGAGGACTGTTGAGTGTGGCAAGATTGATTTTGCATTTCAGAAAGCTCACATTGCTGGGACCAGCAGTGAACGTAATGGCTATGTTGCTGGACTCCCATATAGTCGACCACGGTTCGAGTCCCGGACCCAGTGGCTTAAACTCAGACCGGGCGCATGTGTGTGCGTGCCCAAGATCCCGAGAGAAGAATGGAGAAGGGACTGTGGTGTGGTCATCCTTCCTGGGGGGTGATTTCTTGCTTTCTGTCTGTCTCTGTCTCTCCCTGTCTTTCTGGCAAGTGCACGCGCCCTATAACAGAAACCTCTCCAAAAAAAGAAAAAAGAAAAAACAGTAAGCGCACATTGCTGAACTGAATAAAGGCCAAAAAGAACAGAAAAGATACTGGGACTAAAAACATGTGGTGCCCTCCCATGAGTAATTGAAAATATAAGTAAACTAATATATAAATGGCCTTTTGAAAATGACATAAAAACTTATTAAAATAACATTTCTCTGGCCTTCAGAGAGAGAGTGTGTGTGTGTTTCTACCTGTCTTCACATAGACTTATGCATGGAACTTAGCTTGTGCCCTAACACAAGTTAGTCTCCTATTGGTTTACTCCAGTTTTAGGGACCAGAGATGTTTTAATTGTCCTGAAATGAGAGATGATAATTTGAACCAGGTGATAGAAGGAGACTAAACACAAAAGAAACGTAAGAATAAATTAGGATTCAGTGCTTGATTATAATAAATGAGGGAGGGAGAGGAGTCAAGATAAGCCTAGTTTCTGATTTGAGCCAAATGAATAGTAGGACAAGAGGAATAGTTGGCTAAGGGGAAAGGTTTCATTTTAGGTGTGTTGTTTAAGGTACAGATGGGTCATTCACCTAAAGCAGGCCAGCACTTAGTTAAATATGAAAGAAAGAGGACAGTTAGGGTTTATTAGCAGATAGGTACAAAAATATCACCCTAAGAGACGTCACTGAAAAGATTGGTGACCAAAGACGGAACTCTGATTAGGTATTATAACCTGATGACCAGGAAGAATAGCCAGAGAAGAATGCCAAAAGAGAGTAGTGACAAATGCCAGAAAAGAGAACAGAAAAGGGAGTGGGCAGCAATATCAGGTGTACCCATTAATAAGAGCAAAAACTGTCCTCTCAGTTTGGTCAAGTAGTGCATTGAGACCAGTTTCAGTGGAGGGAGCAGAAAGAAGAAGAAGCCAGAATAAAATGTTAACAAATAAGTAGATGAGGAGGAAATGGCAGAAGAGTAGACAGCTGCTCAGAAAAAATGAGAGTGGGAAAAGCAGGGTGGGAATGAGCCACTGTAGTCCAGGAAGGAATCTTTTTTTGTGAGTAGATGTCTCCCTGAAAGGAGAGTTGGTAGATCTGACAGGGCCAAGGATATGGGTGTAGTCAGCCTTCCACATGCCAAAGTCTGCTACCTCAGCACATGACATGAGACTGGAGAAAAATGGATGAAAGACACAGACATTTGTGGTGTGATGGGCAGGGTGTGGGTAGCAGGAAGAAGGTGAGGTAATTCAGGGTAAAGCTCAGCTTTCTTGATATGAGCAAAAAGAGTTTATTTGCCATTGTAAAGACAGTGCTGGGTGAATGGAGCTTTAAGGGCCAGGAATAATTTAGAAATAATCTTGTTTGAATAGAGGAAGGACAGAAACTGAAGCTTTTGGTTTTGCTTTTTTAATTTGCAAGAGACATGTGCACCAACTGAAGAGAGACAGAGAAAGAAAGTGAGAAAGTAACCCCCATGGGGAATGTTTACACCACAGTCCTGTCTCCATTTCTCCCTCCTTTTGGGATATTGGGCACAGACACACACATGCACTTGGCATGTTTTTCAAGCCAGGGCTCTAGGACTCAGACTACACAGCTGGATATGTAGGATCTAGCTCCCTTAACCAACAGGTCATGAGCTGGCCCAAAACTTAAGTTTTTTAGCAAATTCTTTTTTTTTTTTTTTTTTTGGAGAGGTTTTCGCTATAGTGTGCGTGCGCTCGCCAGATAGAGAGAGACATAGAGCTAGAAAGCGAGAAATCACCCCCCAGAGGGGATGGTCATGCCGCAATCCCTTCTCCTCCATTCTCCGCTCGGGATCTTGGGCACGAACACACCCGCGCCCAGCATGAGTTTTAAGCCACCGGGTCGGGGACGCGAACCGTGGTCGACTACGTGGGAGTCCAGCGACATAGCTATTAGGCTAACTGCTGGTTCCCAGCAAATTCTTAAGTATATAAAGATTTGAAATGTTTTGTGTCATATTGCTTTGTGGTTGCAAAATAACTTATGCCAAAGAAAAATAGCAAACCATATTTTTCTTTTTTCAGATGATTAAAGGAAAAGTGAAAGCTGGAAAAGTAGACTGTCAGGCCTATGCTCAAACATGCCAGAAAGCTGGTATCACAGCCTATCCAACTGTTAAATTTTATCGGTATGAAAAAGCAAAGGTATGTATGCACTTTTTCTTCATTTAGCAAGCCAGGCTCAAAAGGAGATTTGTTTATAGTCTGAACAGTGGTTTTTTTCCCTCCATTGTCTTCTCTTTTGGTCTTTTTTTGTATTATTGCGTATTACTGAAACAAGCTTTATTATCTACATATGTACCAAGTGATATTAACAGGTTTTTCTGTCTCATAGTTGCTATATATATCGATCTCAATTGCCTTAAAATTTTTATTCTCATGAATAGGAAAACTACTAGAAACAAATATCAAAATAGTGCTCATCGGGACCAGCAGTTAGCGTAAGGGCTGTGTTGTTGTACTCCATGTAGTGGACCACGGTTCGAGCCCCGGACCTGGTGGCTTAAATTCACGCCGGGCACTTGTGCGTGTGTGCCCAAGATCCCGAGAGGAGAATGGAGGAGAAGGGATTGCGGTGTGGCCATCTCCTGGGGGGTGACTTCTTGCTTTCTGTCCGTCTCTGTCTTTCTGGTGAGCACACGCACCCTATAGCAAAAAAAAAAAAAAAAAAAAAAAACAAAAAAAAAAAAGAACCCCCCCAAAAAAAAAAAAAAAAATATGTATATATAGTGATTATCTTTGAATGGTGGGATTCAAGCTAATTATTTCTTTTCTGTGAAGTTTTGTACTTTCTACTCTTTATATAATAAACATTATTACTTTTGAAGTTAATTCTTTCCATGCAGCGAAAAAATGGGGGTGGGATTGACATAGCACATGCTCAGTGGAGAGAGAGAGAGTTGGAAAGTGGGAAAGTACCCCATGGGTAGAATGGCCACACCACAATCCCTTCTCCACTCTCCTCTCTAGATCTTGGGCATGAATGCACATGTGCCTAGTGTGATTTTCAAGCTGCCAGGTCTTGGAGTCAAACCACAGTTAGCCATGTGGGATCCAGTGCCTTAACCACCATACCACCTGCTGGCCCTGAGAAAATAATTTGAGAGAATACTTCTAAATGAAGTAACCTTAGTACCTCAGCATTTATCTTAAAGAAAGTTTGTTAGTATATTGGATTATAAAATAAAGTTAGGGCTTCTTGGCTCAGTCATTTTTATTTTTCTAGGCCATTGACAGTACAGTTTTTTTCTTCTTCTTTTTTCTTTTCTTATAAGAGAGACCTCGGGGTGGGGGCTGTATTTTTTTTTTTTTTTGAGAGATTTTCACTGTAGGGCGTGTGCGCTCGCCAGACAGACAGAGAGAGACATAGAGACAGAAAGCGAGAAATCACCCCCCAGGGGGGATGGTCACGCCGCAATCCCTTCTCCTCCATTCTCCTCTCAGGATCTTGGGCACGCACGCACACACGCCCGGCGTGAGTTTTTAAGCCACCGGGTCCGGGACACGAACCGCGGTCGACTACGTAGGAGTCCAGCGACATAGACATTACGCTAACTGCTGGTTCCCAGGGGCTGTATTTTGACAAGGTCACAGTCCTCCCACCTCAGCCTCCCAATTAGCTAGGCCTAAGCCTCTGCACTGTAGTACTGGTGCCTTCTAGTGTATGCCACTGCAGTTTAGCTAATATGTTTGTTTTGGTTTTTTTTTTCTGTAAGAAGGGTAGGTCTTTTATTTTGAGAGAGCGAAAGATTTTTGCTATAGGGCATGTGACTCTGTGGAGACATAGAAAGTAAGAAATCATCGCCATTCTCCTCCATTTTCCTCTCGGGACTTTGAGCACACTCACACATGTTTCAAGCTTCTGTGACTGGAACTCAAACTGCGACCAGCCATGTGAGTGTCCAGAACATAACCATTACACCGTCTGTTGGTCCCACAATAGGTCCTAACAAAATCCAAGTGAAAACTTTTATCTACAATCATGTCTTTCAGCCAGTGTATTTGCTAACTGAAAGTAGTCATGACCTTTGCTGTCTTCCCAAGTAAAAAGCAGAAGACTTTTTAACAATAGAACTCTTAATATTTTAAAGAATGTTTAAGAATAGATTTCATCAAGAACTGTAATGTTTTCTCAGAATAGAAGACTTTTTTTTTTAAGACTTTTTTTTTTTGAAGATTCAACTTATGTTTGATTGGTTTGTAAGAAAATAAATGTGGAAAGTGACAAATGAGTTCAAAAGACAGAAAAACACCAAGTTTTGTTTTTGTTTTTAATTAAACGAAAAAATAAAAAGCAGGGATTACTGTAGAGGACACATTGTGGTGAAAGATAGAATGTATTCCTTCCTATAGGATTCTAGAAAAACTGGGAAAATTTTCTACCTTTCAGTGTAACTTAACCAAGAGAAGCAAAGTCATTTTCTACTCAAAAGTAGATTTCAGAAAAATAATTCTAATTATAATAGGTAAAAGCTGAAAAGGGTACCATAAATCCGGAAGAGCTAAACAAACAGTAATGATGACCAGTAAAACCCAAAATGATGAGGGAAGACTTGATTGGTCTTGTGGCGTTAATGGCCGCACTGTGCCTGGAATGCAACTGATGACACAATTACTAATATAATCTCGGGTTAGTATGGCAGTCTGGCCAGCTGAGCAAGAAAGCAAAACTAGTAGGAGCAGTAGTGCCTCAAAGGTGATGGTGGTTCCCGAGGTCACTGAGAGCACGGTGTTTGTGCACTGTTGCCTAGAGTAATATTTACTGTATGTATTCTATCACGGTGCTTTATACTACTGAGCAAGTGCCTAAGTAATAAGCTTGCTTGCTTGGAGACTGGAGGAAGAACTGTGATACACTAAACAAGTATTTGCTGTGTACTCATATTTTCTAGTAAAACACTCAATTTCAAATATTATGGTAGTTCTTGAGGGAGAATACCAAGTTAAGATCTGGTGTTATTTATTGACAGTTACGCTTTTTTTCTCCTCTCCTCATCTGTAAAATGTTTTTATATGGAGCTAAATGAAGAAATTAGGGGTTGAGTTTCAGAAATCTCATACTATCATACATCTGGGTTCTTCATCGAAGGTTTTTGATTTACCAACAAGTTCTCTTTCTTAAGAACAGCCTGGGGCATGCAGCCTTGATGGAGGTTAAAGGAGCTCAGACCAGAGCCTGAATCCTTGTTCCTTTAGATTCAGCAGGTCTGTTTCCCAGTTTTCAGAACAACTGAGAAAGGAGTGACACAAATAGGAATCTTGTTTAGCTCAGATATTAGGGAAGTATGAGTATAATGAGCTATCCAGAATTAATCAGGCCCTAGGTGGAGTCGTTTGAAAAGATGTTACCATGTCGCCAGATGAGTCCAGCGGGCACTTGGGAACCAAGAGTAGATCCAGAACTCCAGGCCAGACAGGAAAGCCCAAGGAGAATAATAATTGAGGTAACAGAAATAGAAACCAGGTTGGCAGTTACTCACAAAAACAAAATCCCAACATGCAGTTTGGTGTTGGATTCCACACCCAGAATAAGAAAATAGGTGGCTCCAGGCCCAAGATGCACAGACCTAGGTATGTAGATCTGCTCTTTCACCCACTTCCAGCCATCTCCTGCTGTGGGCGGATGAAAACTAGGGGATACACACTGCTTTCCATGATTGTGGTTGGTCCAGGTTTTGTCCGTGCTAATGATTGTAATTAGAATGATTTCAGTCCTCTGGGGGACAGATTTTCTTACATAATTCAGATGTTTTGAAGCTTTTGGAGTCAGCACTGCAATTTTTCCCAAGGAATTATTTTATGTTCTCATAATACTATTAGTTTCTATTTCAGGTACATCATGGATTAACTATGAAAGAAACTTAGATTATAATTTTTAACGTTTCAGAAAAAAGAATTTTAAAATACATTTAATCACGTTTCATCTTTTGTTAGATACCAAAAAATAATGAGCAACCCAGACACTGTAGCATGCAGCTGTGTGTAGATGCTGCTACTCAGTGGGCTGAGGCCACATGTTCAGTTCCAGCTTAGTCTAAAAACCAGGTGCTGAGGGGCCAGCAGATGGCATGGTGGTTAAAGGTGCTGGATCCCCACATGGCCAACTGTGGTTCAAGTCCCAGACCTGGCAGTTTGCTTTCCCTCTCTTCCTCCCTCCCTCTCTTCCCTTC